TTGCATATCTTCCATAAAGATGTTGTGGAAGACTTGAATAAATTTATCTCACTAAAAAATTAATTTCTTTGCTTTTTTATTCAAGTTCAATACGTAGTTTCTTTGTTTCCTATAAAGAGACAAAAAAAATGTCTGATTTTTCAATCTGGAATTTTTTTTTAAACTTTGAGCGAAGCACAATTGCTTTTCTAAAATTCTTAGTCATAAAGGGCTTATCGTTACCTCTTAATATTTTAGTTTTCAATGGAACATATAGATTTAAATAATTGCTAAAGATAGCGTTAAACCCATTAATGTCATTACAAAATCTCAATTTATTTTTTATTTTTTCAGAAAATATAACACTTGAAAAGTTTTTAAACGACCTGCAAATTAGTTTTTTTAGAGGTAACTTGCAGAAGGTAGCCATGAGCGTTATAAAAATAAGATCGTGATGGTCACTAGCACCCGTACAGATAGTCTTAGAGTGTTGAAAACACGTTTTTCTATTTGTTAGGTTGAGATCTATACACGTGGGTTTTACAACGGATTTAAAACAAGTTGGTGCTTTAATTAAATTACTACATTGATAAAGGCAGAGACTCGTTCATTATTTTATCATGAGGTTGTAAATTAAAATCTCCAATAATTATATAACCATTATATGATTGCAAGTAAAAATCAAGAATCCCTCTAAGGTTGACGAAAAAATAGTCATTTTTCTGATTAGGAAGCTTATAAATAGCTATAATTAGCCATTTCCGCATTCCTAGTTTAATTTCAAAAGGTAAAAATTGAACGTCAGTGGGTATGACTACGCCATTTAATCTTTTTAAGGTAATGTTAAATGGAGACTCTGTCGGCCAACATGTTCTTTAGAGATGTTAGAATTATCAATAATATTAAAATATGATTCTTTAAACTTAATTGTTAAATGCTTAGAAGTCAGCTGGGCTTTAGCGTTATCAAAACGAAAAGTTGGCGAAGACAAAATAACTAAATAGGATGGATTCAAACTTGATATACGTTCGACAAGGTCTTTAAAAGTGGAATTAAATTATAGTGCATATCTTCAATAGTTGCTCGTTTGAATGTTCGTACTTTAACTTTTCCTGACTTAAGAATTTTTTTTTCATTTACTCCAATGAGAATTGAATCACCACATATTAAAACAGCACCAGATGGCCATTTATTACTATTTGTCTCTTTAGTAATCTCACTCAAATTATCTTTACTGGATTTTGTTTTACCGGTTTTTTTAAATAATTTAGGTTTATTCGAAAATAAGGTAGATTTACTTCTTTTGTTAACCGTTTTTTGGTACTTTTTCTTATGTTTCAGCTTGATAAAATAAAGTTGACTAGTTAAATCAGAGAATTTTTTTATAGGTTTGCTTGATTCAAAAATATTAGTGGAATTGATAAAATCAGAGTTTAAAGTTTTTTTAGATAAATAATATCTTGATTTTTGTTGGTTGCGAATATCCGTTAATTGATTGTTTAAACAATCTTTAACATTAATACATTTATAAAGTATTTCATCTTTTTCAAAGGTTTAAATGATTTTTTTTACGTTAACTTCCGTTTGAAATTTTTTGGTATTCAAATCATTAATCAATACATTAGAATTAAACGACACATTATTATTATCAGAAAAGTGATTTAGAGTTTGCGACAATTTTGGTTAGACATGCTTAATTTAATTGACCTGTGCCGGAATTAGAACCCCGAACTGACAGCAAATGTATATTAGACGAGGATATCTTTTCAATCAACGATATCCATGCTCAACTCGCAAACCTAGACAAATCTAAATCTCTCGGTGTGGATAACGTTCAATCTTGTGTACTCAAACATTGCGCAGAATTACAGATTGCACTCAAACATTACCTTTAGCATTGCCCCGAACGTTAATTTTCAAGAAATCCTTCTCAACCGGCATTGTACCAGACCTGTGGAGGAAAACCAATATCACGCCTCTTTTCAAGGAAAGAAGCAAACTAAAAGCATCGAATTATAAATCAGTTTTTTTCACATCCATACCATGCAAAATATTCGAGAGCATATTACATGAAAAAATAATCCTACACTACACGGATTTGTTCAAGAAAAACCTGTTTGACTAATCTCCTCGAAACTTTCTACTTCCTCACAGAAGCCGCACACAAAAAGTATCGAGTCGATGTGATCTACACTGATTTTGCAAATATATTTGATAAAGTCCCAAACAATCGCCAATTGAGAAAATTGAAAGCATATTGCATCAACAAGAAAGCATTTATGTGGATAAGTGCTTAGCTTAACAATAGACAAAAGCGTGTTGTCATCGTTACTTATTCAACTGCTGAAATTTTCACATTATATTAGAAAACAGTCACAAGTGCCGTCCCTCAAGGAAGCGTCCTCGGCCCACTCCTCTTTGTACTATTTATAAATTATTGCTGGACAACATTAAATGCCAGTTTAAGCTCTACACAGATGATAGTAAAATTGTGAACATCATAAAAATTAATGAAGATATGCTAGCTCTACAATCAGAAATTGATCATGCAATAAAACTGGTCTCATACATGGTTGATTTTCTTTAATGTGGAAAAATGCAATGTAACAGACAATCTAATGAAGTCTATTTAATGACAAACACAATTGGCAATCGTCAATACCTGAAGGAAACTGAAACTGAAAGAGATCTAGGCATTATGATATCAAAAGTCCGTGCCCAAGTGGAGTCTGCAGTCTCTGTAGCCAATTAAAAATTAAACCTACTCAAAGAAGCATTCCGAAGCAAAAGCATTCGCTTTTGCTTAACTGTGGTATACTTAACTTGTTTTGCTTAACTGAATGGTAAACGCTTTACATCACATATGTGCGCCCACACCTGGAATTCGCTATTCATGCATGGTCTCCTCACCTAAAAAAAGATATCAATATGCTCGAAAGAATTCACCGCAGAGAAACAAAAGTTTCCTCAATCAAACATCACCATATGAGCAACACTTAAATATATTTAGATTGACAACACTGGAAGAGAAGAGAGCCAGAGGAGATCTTATTGAATTGTGAACAAAATTGATGATGTTAATTTTTTTGTTCCTCAAAGGTTCTCTAACAACACATATAGCAGAAGAAGTCATAACAAACAGCTACACAGACAATATGTTAGCTGGAATATGCTACCACAGGAAACAATTAACACTCACACGATCAATTTATTCAAAAGTTTTCTATCATAAAAGATAATATGTCTCGTCAATAATTTGCCCAACACATTAATTAGTAAAGTGATGGCTGGTGTTGCATCTCTTCGTCAGTATACTTTATAATTATTGATTAACTAATTTTCAGTTTCTAAGGGATCAACATTTAGTATTTACTGTAGTTTTATGAACCGTTAGGTATCCAAAGGTTTTAATGTAGTATTTTGTAAATTGTTTTTAATATAATCTCTGGCAATATTGGTTAGGTTGCTTTTTTTTGCCATTTTTTTTTATAAGTCTATCAGAAAATCAATTTCTTGTTTAAGAACATATTTTTTTTTACCCGTCATTAAAACATTTTGAATACAACGAGAACAGTATTAGGGTTGATGCTTAAGTTAGGTTAATTTTTTTTTTTTAACATGTTTATTTTACAACTACAAAGTATTTACAATTGACCAATCACCGATTGGCGAATAAAGATATACAAATATAAATATCGTAAACATAAAGTCCAAAATAAATAAAGGATAAATCTAAAATATTGTTACATTCAACTTCGAGACATGATAAAAATAAATACAAAGTACACAATAGAATAACGTAAACGTAAAAATTACGAAAAATAAACCTTCTATATTCTTTAAATTAAAATAAAATATTTAGATATATATATAAAAGTATGATAAAAACAAGATTTGTATAAGATTGAAGAAAATAATTAATTGTTTGTAGTTATCGGAAGCTCGCAGAAAACTGGGATCAGTCTTGTCATCCAGTACCTTCTAGACGTGTAATACACATAAAAATCAGTTGCATACGTGGTAAATATGTATGTGGTACATATACGCCTTTAAATTATTAATGTTACTATCTCCTTTTAGTATTATTTTTATTGTTTCCTTAAAAAAGTTACAATTTTTGTTTTATTAGGTTTGTTTTATAGTATTTTTATTTTTAAATTTTAAATTAATGTTTAAAAAAACTCCTTGTAGTTGTTTAACTTGATTATTGTAGATTTTAACTTTGTTTTCAGGGACTGTTTGTTGTTTAAATTTATTAGCGATTTGTTTCTAGAAATTATTTTGTTAAATAAATAGGGACCACGATGTTTTATTGAAAATTCTGAGAGTTTAGTTTTTTCAAAGGTATCTTAAAGTTTCCCGTTGCTCTTGTATTGTATTTGTTTACGTTGTTTTTAAAAAAGTGTGCTGTAAAATGTTCTGGAACCAGACTCAGCGCCGGCTTTTAGGGGGGGGGGGGCGAGGTCGTGCGTTGCACGAGGGCGGCAAGTGAATAGAAGCGGAGAATTTTATTAGTCACAAGTTTTAATTTTCCAGTAGTATATTAAAAATTTAAAGTAAATTAAAAGATTTAATGACCTTTGCAAAAAAAAACACGATTTTAAATTTGAAGACAAAAAATTACTACATTTACTTAATTAACGCACGATTTTCTATTGTAATTTGTAGTATCATTTGTGCGTTATTTCCCCTAGGAGTCATTTCGAAAAGTTGCAAAAAATTTTTTATAAAGAAGTTCAAAAGTTTTTATTTTTTGTTATTAAATGTTAAGTTGACTCGATTTAAACAATTTTCAGTAAGTTTAGTTACTTTTTTTTTTATTTCTTTAATAATTTTATGAATGTGTTTTGAGAACTTTGTTAAATTTTTTTTTTTTTTAAATTGTAGAAATAATTTTATCTTAAAAAATATTCTGTCTCATGTCACATAAAATTTCAAATTCGAGAAAAAAGTTGCCTGGTTATGAGTACAGAAAAAGAAAGTCCGTTAAAGATCAAAAATTTGAAAAAATTAAAAAATTCATGAGCATTGAAAAATATGTTGCTTATAAAAAACCTGACGAAGGTCGTGAAGATTTTAACCCTGATGCTTCAACTATCTCTACGACTATGTCCAATAAAATTGGAGAACCTTCAACAATACTCAAAAATAGTTGTATAACTTCATTGCAAATTGAAGTAGATAATGAACCAGTTATTTTAAAAGAATCGAATGATTTATCGGAAGATTTTTTACAAGAAACACCTAATTTATTGGATTGTGGAAATTGGCCAATTGTTCGATCTAGCAACTTTGTTGACCATTTAATCAAACTTGGTCCTTTTCAAATTACAAAGGAAAAATACCCTGAAGATAAAAATAGTCGACATTTTTCTAGCATTTATTACAATAGAAAGCTTTCGAATGGAGAAACCTTTTGCCGTAGATGGTTGGTTTATTCAGATTCTAAAAACTCCGTGTTTTGTTTTTGCTGTCTACTTTTTGATAATAATTCAAAGTCAAACTTATTCTCTGATGGTTTCAAGAAATGGAGACATTTAACTGAAACATTGGGAATTCATGAAAACAGCGTCTCTCATATGAAATGTTATCAACAGTGGGTAGAAACTGAAATAAGATTAAAAACTGGAAAAACTATAGATAATGAAGAAATTAAAATTATAAAAAAAGACAGTTTGCGATGGCAAAATGTTCTTCTTCGGCTGATGAATATCACTCTTTACCTAGCTGAAAATAATATGGCTTTTTGAGGGAGTTCGGATAAACTGTTTACGCCTCAAAACGGCAAATTCTTAGGACTAATACAGATGCTTGCAAAATTTGATCCTGTGATGCAAAAGCATTTGGCACTTGCAATAAAAGGTGACACTTCAGACCATTATTGCGGGAAAAATATTCAAAATGAGTTAATAGATTTAATGTCTCAAAATGTTAATGATGAAATAATAAACCGAGACTTGAAAGCCGTTTACTATTCGATCATTGCTGATTGTACACCTGATATTTCTAGAAAAGAACAACTTTCTCTTACTATTCGAATTGTTGACTTGTCATTAGACATTAGAGTGGAAATTAAAGAGTACTTTTTAGGATTCTTTTCTGTTTCTGATTCTACAGGCTTAGGACTTACTGAGGTTTTAATCGAGTTGCTAACTAAGCATGGACTTGAAATCTCTAACTGCAGGGTTAGGGTTAGGGTTAGGTCAAGGGTATGATAATGGATCAAATATGAAAGGAAAGATTAATGGTGTACAAAAAAAGATTTTAAATCTTAATCCTTTAGCATTATATGTTCCTTGCGGCAACCATAGCTTAAATTTGGTAATAAGTGACTCTGCACGGTCTTCAGTAAAATCTATAGCTTTTTTCGGTATTCTTCAGAGATTGTTTACTCTATTCTCAGCTTCAGTGAGCCGATGGAAAATTTTAATTGATCATGTTAAAATTTTGCATTTAAAGAAACTCTGTGACACGCGGTGGGAAGCAAAAATAAGTAGTGTTAAAGCCGTTCGTTATCAAGTTGGTGATGTACATGACGCTTTGATAGCATTGTCAGAAATTGAAGGATGTAATCCTGAAACTGCACATGAAGCGATAACTCTAGGAGAGCAATTAAAAGGTTTTAGCTTTCTTGTCTTTTTCATTGTCTGGTATGACGTTCTTTTTCAAGTCAATACTGTTAGTAAAACTCTTCAAGAAAAAGACATGGACATCACTCAATGTGCAAAGTTATTGAAAAGCTGTTGTTCATTTTTAGAAAACTATAGAAAATGTGGTTTTAAAGATGCAATTATAAAAGCAAAGGATTTGGCTATAGAATTACAAGCGGAGCCTGTTTTTAAACCACTTAAAAGAATAATAGGAGTGAAACGCCATTTTGACGAACCAGCCCAAGATGGGATTTATTTATTTTCTCCTGAAAAAAAATCAGAAATCGATTTCTTCAATCCTCTTTTAGACACATCTTTAATTTCAATGAAAGAAAGATTTATACAGTTGGAGAATTATTCTGAAGTTTGGGGTTTTTTGTATAATGTCAATAGTTTGCAAAAAAGAGAAGAAATTCTAAAATCATGTTTTGCTCTTCAAAGTAAACTTACCGTAAATCTAAAATCGGACATTAATGGTATTCTCCTTTGCGATGAACTAATGAACATTAAACCTTTTCTTTCTGAAATGGTCAAGGATAAAATTACTCCTATTATTGTTTTAAACTTTATAAAACAGCACAAAATGCAAGATTTGTATCCAAACACATGGATTGCAATGCGAATTTTGCTAACTATACCTGTCACTGTAGCGAGTGGAGAAAGAAGCTTTTCCAAAATGAAACTAATAAAAACCTATCTGCGGTCAACAATGTCGCAGGATAGACTTTCAAGTTTAGGAACCCTATCGATTGAAAAGAATACTGCTGAAAATCTTGATTTTTCAACCCTAATCAAAGATTTTGGTGATAAGAAGGCTCGTAAGATTAATTAAAAAAATTAAATGTATTTTGTGTAAAACATAAACAAAAAATGTTTCTTTGTATGTAGCGTTTTATTGCAAAGTATTATTTTTGAATTCGATTTGTTATTATTTTCCATGTAATTTACCAGCACGTTTATAAAATTTTCAGGGGCGGCAGGACAAATTTTGCACGAGGGCGGCGAAAAGGCTAAGGCTGGCACTGACCAGACTTAGTTTATATTTAAACATGAAAAGTATTTTTTGATAAATATTAATTTGAAAAATATTTAAAGCGTTCATTCGCTCCAGTAGGGGTTGAGCATGAGTAAGTTTATTTTTGTTGAACACTAGTCTTGAAGCATGCTTTTGACGCAGATAAAGCGGTTTTAATTTAGTTATGTGGGTACTGCCCCATGCTATATTGGCATACATAAGATAGCTATGTATGAATAAAAAATAAACGAGTATTAGACTTTTTTGTGTCAAGAAAGATCTTGCCTTATAAAGTAAACCTATGTTCTTTGATATTTTTGTATTTATATAGTTGATGTGGGGCTTCCAAGAGATGTGTTAATTAATCAATTAGAACACCTAAAAACTTTGTATTTTGAGCACTTTCGTTGATTATGTTTTCTATATTAATTGTTGGTAGGTTAAGGGGAAGCTTTTTAATTTGTTGAGTAGAGTGGAATAGAATATATTTAGTTTTATCTATATTGAGTGATAGTTTGTTTGATTTAAACCATATATTAATTTTTTTTAGTTCATTATTTGCTTTTTTAAATAAGTCTTCAATAGTCTTTGATGAGTAAAATAAGTTTGTATCATCGGCAAACATTATAGTTTTGAAAATATTAGAGGCATTTGGAGATCGTTTATGTAAGTAAGAAACAAAAGAGAAGCAAGAATGGACCCTTGCTTCTCTTTGTTACTGAAAACAAAATGTGGTGTACCACATTTTGTTTTCAGTAAATTCGAGTTGCTTATTTTTATCTATAATAACACACTGGTGTCTGTCATTAAGGTAGTTTTTAAACCAAGTTAAAGCTTTATTTTTAACGCCATAATTTTCCATTTTTGTCAGTAAAATCTCATGGTTGACGGTGTCAAACGCCTTTGACAAATCAATAAAGATTCGTAACGTGAATTTTTTTTGTTTAAATGATTTACTAATCCTATTTGAGAAATCAAGGATTGCATGCTCTGTTGCGTGTCGCTTTTGGAAACCGTATTGACCTTTATTAATAATTTTATTAGTTTTTAAATATTTATTTAATTTATTGTAGATAATTCGCTCAAGAGGTTTATCAAATACCGAAAGAATTGAAATAAGAAAATCAGGTACAATACCTGTTGTAACTGATGAGTTAAATATTTGGTAAATAGGATTACGTATTTCCTTAAAAACATCTATCACTACTTTGCAAGAGATTTCATCGATTCCTGGGGACTTGATTTTAAGTGATTTCTTAGCTATCTTAAGTTCGTCTTGGTTTAGTTCGTTGAAATTTAAGGAGCAGTGTGAGCCTGTTAAGTAATTTTTAAATGAATTGTTTGGGCATTGAATTTTTGATGCAAGATCAACACCAATATTGGCAAAGTGGCTGTTGAATTCATTAGAAATATCACACTTATTGTTCGATTACTTTTGATTAATTATTACTCTAGAAGGCATTTTATTAGAATTAGTTATACCTTTACCAATTATTTCCTTCATAATGTCCCATGTCTTTTTTAAGTCTCCATTAAATTTTTGCATTTGGTTGGAATAATATAATATTTTATGTTTTTTTTAAAATTTTTTCAAATAAGTTTTTGTATAGGTTGTAGAGAAAAAAGTTCGCTTCGCTTCTATTTTTTAAATATTTTAAGTAAGGTTTTTGTTTTTGTTTTGAGGAGTTTCTTTTTTTTTTGTTATCCATGGACAGTTTAAATATTTCGCTTTTATTTCTTTTTCTTGAATTGGAAAACTCTTATTATATTGTAGCATAAATAAATTAATAAATTTAATGTACGCAGAGTTTATGTTTCCTGAGTTACATTCTCGGTAGACTTGCCAATTTGTTGCCGATAGCAAGTCCTTAAATTTTTGAGTAGATGTTTCATCAATAATTTTTTTATAAAAAAAAATTTTTAATAATCAATTTTTTTGGAATCTAGTGATAAAGAAAAGTAGATTGGAAAATGATTTGAGATGTCTGTTTTTATTATTCCTGATTTTAGAGAAGTATCTTGTATTGAGTTTGTTAATATATTATCAATGGCAGTAATAGATTTGGAAGTTACCCTGGTAGGTTTGTTGATAATGGGGAAGATATTAAGCTAAAACATGTCGTCAAAGAAATTTTTAGTAATCGCATGTTCGTTATACTTTAAGATATTTATGCTTATATCTCCAATTATGAACAATTTTTTCTGTTCTCTATTTTTTGTTATTAAATATTTCATATAGTTTGAAAATTTACAGGTAACACCATCGGGTGGTCTGTAGCACGTAGAAACTAGAAAGTTTTTTGACGCGTTAGTAACTTCCATTGTGAGGACCTCAATATTTCCATCAGAGTTTGAGAGATTTTTAACTTAGTGTTTAAATCATTTTGTATATAAATCACAATTCCTCCTCCTCTTTTGTTAACAGATCTTTCTTTAGAAAATATTTTATAGTTTGGAATTTGGAGGTCAGAGTTTTTTTCTGCTGTTTCGTCGGAGCACCAAGTCTCTGTAAGGCAGATCATACTGAAAGTATGTTTGCATTAAAGGAGAAAGTTTTTTAAATTGTCTATATTTATAGGTAAACTTCTGATATTTATATGTATTACCGTAAAATTATTTATAGTGGTTTTAAGTTCAACTTAAAAATTTTTAATATCAAAATCTACAGAATCAGAGTATGTTTTGTTTAAAAAGCTAAAGTCGTCATAACAATTTCGAGGTAAATGTTTATTGGCAATTTCAAAGATATTAAAACGTAGCGTTTCTAAGTGTATTGTTTCATTAACCATAATGATTTTTTAGAAATGAAATTTTTTAAAAATTTGCTCGCTAAAAACAGCTGTTTATTTTTTAATAAACTTTATCAAATTTAATAATGGCGTAATAACCAGCTTTACGAAGTCGTTTTACTTCCTCCCATAATTTCTTACGATGTTCAATCGTTTCTTTCGCGTAGTCTTTGTTTATGTAAATCCCAGTCTCTCGTAATTTTTTAGCGCTGTTTAAAACTTTAGTTTTATCTAAAAAATTCAGTAATTTAAAGATTATTTTTCTCGGTGGTTTGTCTTCTCTTGCACTTCCAATACGATGGGCTCATTCGATTTCAATTTCTTCAGATATTTTTAGCTTATTTTTAATTATTTCTTTAACCGAGTTTCTACAATCTTCCCAGCTTTCACCTTCTATTTCTTTAACACCATCGATCCTTAAATAATTCTGCGTGAGCGGTTCTCTAAGTCCACAATTTTTTTTACTAAATAATTTATATCATACCCCAAATTTGCTTTAACTTTTTCCATTTTTTCCGTAACATTTGCTTCTTGAAAGTTTAGGCTCTCTTTAATTTCATGTATATCTTTTTCAATGATAATATTGTTTGATTTATTTCGTTTAACTTCGTATTCAAGCTTATCTAGTCGTTCTGCGAGAATTTTTAAGTTTCCACTTATTATTATTGTAAAGTTTTTTTCATGCTCTTTTAATAACTTGCTTGTTTCCGATAATATATAAGCTTTTTGTTCTTCAAGCTTGCTTGTTATTAACTTTTCGATGTTTTTTAACGTTAGATCCATTTTTAATTTGTTAGTAAGATAATAAAAAAAACACGTCCGCTCGCGGTGATGTTCACGGTGAGCATCAAAATTAAATCTCAACAATTGCTTCTTTTCAATGTGTTTAAAATTTATGAATTCCATTCATTTTGTTTGTAATATTATTATCTAAAAAAACTAAAGTGTTTTTAGTGGTTATTAAGCTCAAAGTCTTTATCGAGGTGGGTGATTTACGTTGTTTTACGGGATTTATGCTGTCCAGTAGGTACTGGACGCAAAAAAGACGTCTTATAAACCTCTTTTAAACGTTTCGAATGTCTTTTGAACATTTTGGACATCTTTTGAACGTTCAAAAGTCGTCTTTTTAAGTCTCGTGCCCGCTGGAGCTTGGGGCGGAACCCTCTCTAAATTTATAAAAAATAAAAAAGCTTTTTTATTTACTTTTTTTTTTTATCTACGCAGAGTCTAAAATCTTTAATCGATTTACTGATTTTCATTAACAAGTCCTTAATGTTTTGCATTTTCTTAGGATAACTAAAAAAATTTAATCTTGAATCTTATTAAAAACTCACAGCTATAAAGTGGAACTTAAAGTAACTGTAGTAAAATGCTTCTCTACCCATCCAGTGAGCATTATTATCATTAAATTATAATAAAGCATCATTAAATTATAATAAAATTATAATAAAGCTCATTAAATTATATTAAAGCTTAATTTATTTCTCAAGCTTACATACTAGACAATTTTTTTTTAAGGATTTTTAAAAATGAGTAAATATTTGGATTGAAACGAAGAACTAGCCAGCTAACACAAAACTTTCAAGAACGTTGCGAATGTTTGAGTACGTTTTATGAAAGTTCATAGAACGTTATTGAACGTTCGCAACGTTCGCAACGTTCGCAAAAAAAAAGAGAAAAGGTTTTTAGTATAAAAATTTAACAGTCTTGATAATGTTAATACCGAAGCGGAGTTAAATGATAATCCTGCTGTAGATGTTTTAATTGAATCCAATCCCACAACTCTTAAGTAAGTAAGATACCTAAAAATTGTTGCATTTGATTGGGGCGTATCGAGGAAGACAGGAGGCGTTAAAAATCTTTTTAATTGTATAAAACTAAACACATTTTTCAGAGAAAGTGTTTTTTTTTTGAAGAAAGTATAAATTTTGAAACACTAAAGTGATTATAATTTTTATAGCTGACTATTAACCTATATAAGCGGGTATGTTAGAGTTTCAGGTGGGTATGGTGGTTATGATTTAACAC